ATATATGTATATATATATATATATATATATACATATATATGTGAGGCAAGAAGCAATGTGCATGCGTATGTACATAGAACGCGCGAATCCAAATCGTGCACGCGGCCGTACATGACGTACGATTAACCTGACAATAACGCACGGTGTCATCGGGATGCCCGTACTTTAATGAGAACTTGGCACCCGTAAACCTGCAGCTTCTAAATTTATATTCGTGTCGCATGTCGGATTAAGATCTGTTCCACGTTCAATTAAAAATTCGTAAAGATTGTTTTTTGTTCCGAGAAACGCAAAGAATTATTTTCTCTCGAGATGATTTTATCTTACGACTTTTATATGCTGAGACAATGAATCTATTAGAAAATGTTTTTTCAAATTAATTTCCTGGCATTTTTTGGATTTAACTTATATTTATATTCACACAGATGAAGTATGAAAAGAATTTAAGCACAACGTGCATCGCATAGATAACACGCGTCAGCGCGAAAGCGTATCAAAGGTGTTATACGTGCGTTTAGGCAAAGTAATAGTTAGGCGCGCATACAATATAACGGCATGATGTGACGAGCGAGGGGCATGCGTTCCAACGCGGAAATAATACATACGCATAGTCGGCGTACGTTTGAGGGAGAACGGCAGAGAGTTCCACCCCATTGCAAATCCCGAGAATTACGTTCGTCGAAGCGTAAAACGCGCGGGTACTCCGTGAGATGCCGCGTAATTTGCTGGCCGGGATGTGCGTGTAAAAGCGGATTCCGCGCGGTAGACGCGACATTTCCGTTCCGCGGCGACGCGGAACGCGTTCTCGACCTGATGTACGGCACCTGGCGTATGACAGCGGTGATTCATTAGTTACCGAAAAGCCAACGAATCTCTATATCACCAATCCGACTAAAATTAAAAAGAGAGAGAGAGAGAAAAAGATGCTTACTCTCTTCCTTTCTGAAAAAAAAATCTATATTTTTTGTTATAACAATTTGAGTCATTATTCAAATATATTTCCATTTAAAATGTATGCGACACATAAAATATCCATTGTTTAAATTTAAAGTTATTTTGAACACATAAATATTCTAATGTCGATGTTAAAATTAAAAATATATAGATATATTCGAGAATAATTCACGTCACACGAGAATGCACTTACGGAAACCGAGCTGGTTAAGTAAACCAATTCGTCTCTTCCTACATTAGCGTAACGATTAGATAAGGACCACGGCGCGAACGCCTACCCTGTATCGGGACAATCTCCGGCTTACTATAATTTGTAAGCCTTCAGCCGTCGCGCGGATAAGAAAGATACATCTCTCCTCTGCCTTGTAATTACAGGTTTCCATTTAAACGGCCGTGCCGCGGGTTAGAGAACGCCCATTTGTCTTTAACTGGCGTCTAACAGACCACGTGTACAAGTATATCGAGGTTTCCTCACGCGCGGCCGAAAGCCGGGATAAATTCCGCGCGCGACTTTCTACGGTACGCGTCGTACACGTTAAACATCTATCTACGAAGAGGTGTGCCAGCTGCGACGCATTTACTTGCCGATAAAAATTTCGTTGCGCTTTTTTTTTGCCGTCGTAATCGTAAATTTGCTTACAATGAATTGTAAGCATAAATCACCGGCGCGGACAGACGCGGCGTAAATCACGCAATCGAACGTTCTACGGAGACTTTACTTACATCGCCGATTTCTCTTCTTTTTAACGTCTGTCTCTATGTCAAAACACGATGCCCCTTTTCTTTTCATAATCACGGACTATTAAATTATCACTTTGCGCAAAAAAAGTTCACGTTTGTTGGACTAACACGATATAAGAGAACGGAAGCGCGTCCGTCATAATAACTCGAAATCATCATCACTTTATGAACGGAAAAGCCAAGGAACTAGACTTCCTTCCGTTTGTCTGCTACGGGAGAATCTCAAGTAACGCGTGTTTATCACGACACCTACAACCTTACCCAATACGCTACCTACTACGTCGACAACGCATGTTGCTCGCCAGGCGATTCTTATCTCGAGCTCTCTCGAATCGCTTCTCCTCCACCTCGTTCTATCTTCCATCGCGAGGAGACAATAATTCACGCCAACGCTTTTCACTTTTCAGCTCATGACGTATCACTGCTATATATTTACCCACGATTATATTTAATGAATTCACATGATTTAATTAATACATATAATACATTGGTTTTTTAATTTCTCAGTTGGATATTCGACTTTATTTTTTTGCGAATACGGTTCTTGCGAGGCAGCACGAATTCGAAGCTGACCTGACACTTGACTCACATCCGTAAAGACAAATTTAATGCGTACAAGATCGAGCGCGCGGATCTTAAATGAGCAAGAAGTACGACAGATATAAAGGGATAGATAGAGAGTAAGAGGAAAGGCGCAAGAGAGTGACAGGCAAACGTAGTGAGAATGACACACTCGTTTCCATTTGAGCAATTTCAGTGCGACGCAAGGCCGAGACGGGACGAGACGGGACGAGACGAAGCCGAGCCATGCCACGGTTGTCTTGCCGTCATGGGGAAGAAAGCCGACGAAACGCCAGGAACAAAAGAGATGAGACAGGGCCTGTGGGGTGCGCGAGCTGTCACCTGCATTGTGTGTCGCCGGCATGTCTTCTCTCCCTTCCCTTCCTCCGCCCCTCCCCCCTCCTCTCCCGCCCCTTTTCTCTCTCCCGGCTCACCACTATTCCACGTGCGTCATCCGCACCACCGTTGCCGTCGCTGTCGCGGCTTCTCGGCTATCCTCGTCTCCTTTTCGCCGCCCGCTTTCGCAAGGACGACCGTCCTTCTTCAGCGCCTGGTTCTCGGGGATTCGATGCTCTCTCCCTACGGGGAAAGGGGGATGCAATAGCCGTCGGCGGTGTTCGTGTGCGCCGCAGCACGCCTAATCACTCTCGGGCGGGCGCGTCTGCTATTGAGATGTTTAATTAACTCCATTGTGATCCTCTTTTGGGCTGCGACACGCCGCAACGGCCCGATTATCGTCGGGCTCGAGGACAAGGGTTTACTCTCGGCTCAATCTCGGACATTTTTGTGTAGCGCTCGTTCAGTTAAATCCAACGGCGCAGTCGGTTATGTCAATGAAATTGAGTGCGTTCGCAAAACAACGCGCGGATCTCTCATTGTCTGGTAATATAATATAAACAAAAGACAGATTAAAATTTTAGAAAATGAATCTTTCACACATCTACGTTAAATAAAATTTTTTCACGTCATGTATTATTTTTACGATATTGTTTATTTATAGTGTGTTACAAATTTTATCTCATCATAGATAATGTCACATAATATAATGTCAACTGTAGGATCATTCGAAATATCGCATGCTTGAGAAAAAAGCAAATAGATTGCTAGTTATGTGAAACTACATGCACATTGCCAGGAGCAATCAAGTGATGAGGATTGTATTGATAATTCCATACGTGATGCTTCAGCTTCTTCTCTGAGTCGGCCGGTAAAATCCCGGGAACGACGAAGTGCTGCAGCGATTGCTGCTGATGGTGTACAACTGGTCTGATTGGTTGGCTTTTGTAAATGTTGGATACAATCGATTGCTCCTTGCGAACAATTGGCACTGCAGCCTGTTGCTTGTAAACGCCCTTGTAAATATTTGACGCTACTGAGTGCGCCTTGAAAACAGTCGATTGTTGCTTGCGAATGTTCTGTACGAGGGGCTCTTGCTTGAGAACAGTTGGAAGGACGATTTTTTTCTGGTAGATGTCCGATATCACAGGCATTTTCTTATAAACCGTCGCTACAACTGGCTCTTTTCTAATTATTGGCACAATCGGTTTGTTCTTATAAAGGCTAGATATCGTTGGAGCTTGATCAATATTAGAGCGGGCCAATATATCACCATGAAAGATGTTAGTGCCGAATTCCCACTTGACGCCGTTCTTGTAAGAGGATGACAATCGCTGTACTTGCCCAGCGCTCAATGCAAAAAGAATAATCAGAACAACGAGCGGCTTCATATTGTCAAAAAATCTTCTCTTACTTTTAGAAGACTTGTAGAAGGCTCAGAAACCGTACAAACGATAGTTGGAGACTATTCTGCGATTTGCGGATCGACGGTGGCGTTTAAATAGTGCTCCGAGGAATGCAGCGATATGGTGATCATTGTGGATGAATTATTTTGTTTCTCCAAATAATAAGAAAGAAAACGAGCAGAACCATTTCTTTTCGTATTCTAATCGTCTATTTAATTCGCATAAGCGCAGAAGGATAGAAAAATAGAATGATTTGATGAGTTTGCAATGGCGTAGCTATATAATCCGTTTAATTTTAATGAGGAAAAGTAAAAATGTATATTATTTTCTTTATAATGTTTTTACGTAATGTTCCCTTCAAATTGAAAATTACGAAATGTCAAAGAGATCGTGTCAATTATTTTTTCATATATTTATCGTACATATAACATAATTACAGCGCAATAAATTATACTTTTTGATATTCTAAGTTAGCGCCATAAGAACCTAATGTATCGCTTGTAAATAAATGTCAAACGCGCCGAAACACATGAGAGGATGAGAATGTTTGATTGATTATGCATAATCAAATCTACGTGAAATATTTTGTCTATATCCCTCGCATAACATAACATCGCGCCATTGGACGAGCAGAGCGAATATGTTGTAAATTTCTCGCAGGCCAGGTCTTGTCGCGCTAGCTTATTCGGCCGCGATCCAACAACGACCAACAAACTGCCGGTTCGTATATTTTAAGAGTCGATACTGCTGGTAGACGTATTATTTCTCGTGCATTTTGAATGCACGACCGCACTGCCCGTGCGGGCGCATCGAAAATCGGATACTGGTTTTCACAGCGGATCGCGGGCGTCGTTTAGATACGAACGTCATTTTGTATTCAAAGATCGGAATGTGCACTCTCTCGGCTCTCGGTCATATTTATTTTCGTATTATTTCGCTTTATCTTTATTTGCGTGTTTAGGTGTGCTAAACGGCCGCCGATGGCGAACGTGGCCTGCAACGCTCGATGCCAAATCGCAAAACTTGGATACGACAATAACGTTTTGATCGCTCACATATCCCGCGAAAAGATACGAACATCTAAACTACCTTCGTGCAATATAAGCCTCGACTTATAGTACGTCAATATCAGACGATAACAGATATATTTGTGACCTGTATTTTATTGCTAACATAAATTTTGAATCATCATTGACTATAATAAAGTTTTTATATTTGTTATTTACATGATAAATATCATAATGATTCTCGCTATTGAGCGAACAGTCATATTTTGAAAAAAAATATTTGTTTACACCCAGCCTTAAGGTGATATTTATCGCAATCTCGAGAAGAAATCGCTAGTTCCGCGATCGTAAATTTGAGCGATGCGACGAGATCGTTCATTTATGATTTATACGACGGCGTTTGAATTAGAAAAACCTCTTAACTTAGGTATTGCCACATGCCTGAATATGTAATTACGACGTGACGGAGTTATTAATCGCGTTAAGATAGAACCGAGTAAGAAAAAGAGAGAGAAAGAGAATTATTAAGGATCGAAGATATAATGACGTTATGCCCGTGTTGTCGAGTCTCGTATTTTTTTTCCACTATTGCGGCTTATCCGCATCGTTTATCAATAATAGATTTGATAAATGTCAATGCGCAGTAAAAATAAAATATAAATGTAAGCAACGATGCAAGCACATACAGTATTTTACTTCAAGTTACGAAAGTATATTTGCATCTAGTCGATGCTTAAGAGAGAGAATAGATGTAAGAAACTGACAATAAGAATATTAATAGTGTTCTCACATTTGAGATAATGATTCATAGAGAAGTGGAATTTATATTCAGTTACTAAATAATACCGAAATTATGTTACGAATAATATAACTACAATGTTTCTTTTTCCTCTCTCTTACTCATTGCGACATTTATATTACCATAATATAACGCATTTCATAAATGTTTTTCTCGGGCATAAAATGTAAACGTAAGTAGTCTCATAATTTCGCGATATTATGCAACAACACATATGTTGAAAAATTTTAATACGATTTTATGCTAAATTTTGCATTTATTTGTTAAATCCTTATGTTATTATAATTGTCCGTTAATATATAGATTCTTGATAAATTGGAATGTATATTTTTAAAATACCAGATTTAAAATATAGTCGAAATGAATAGAAAGATCAAATTTTAAACTAAAAACCTATTTCGTCAGGTTCTTCATTAATAAAATATTTAATGACTAGCTCTATTAATATGATAAATATATCTGTGAACATTCTTGACAATCTACATAAATCTTATAATATATGCTTGCTTACATGCGATAAATATAATTCATGCTGTACAAAACTAATATAATATACGAGACATAAAATGTGATATACACATAAATATGTTATTTACAAACTGGATGGAGAAATAATATATGTGAGTGGTAGTAATGAAAAATAAAAATTACATGTACGGGATACAAAAATTACATAGGCAATAATATTTTACAGATAAACACGCATGTTTGCGGATCTCTGAGTTATTAATCGTTATTATTTACGAGATATCCGTTACTTATGTTCAATTTTCTAACAATGTGCCATTACTCGCGCGTCTGGCCTTCGTCTATATGTCCTCTCTCTTTCTTCCAGCAATATTGTTCCCAGTAATGTTCACATATTGCGATACGTAGCGAGCGTAACTGTCGGTATTTCGCGATCGTTAAGCAAGTAAATGTGTGTACGTTACGTGTATAGGACCCCCTCCCTACGTATACGTATACGAAGCATCCAGCTGCCTCGTAAAAAGTCAAACGTATTACGCGTCCGCGCCGCGGCTCCGGCCACGTTGACATTTTGTGTATAAGCACGCAATATAATTAGCAGCCATAACCATAAATAAGATAATTTGCATGTATTTTGTATAATAAAGCTATTTTACGCCGAGGCACGAATCTCGTGCTTTACGGTTGCCGGTGTTGTGTGTGTATGTCGAGAGAAAAATATCTTTTCTCTCTCTCTCTCTCTTTCTAGATATACCCCGTGCCGGCTGCGGCTTTGGCTGCGGCGAAGTGGAAACGAGAACACCGATCCGCGTTTTCGGTTCGCCGCCGGCCACCTTCAAGATTTATAAACTGCGATTAGCTGGAAACAATTTCTTGCGCTTTCCAAGCGTCGATTCTCTTTTACTCATGGAATATCTGCTGATTGTAAAGTTTATTCGAAACAATAGATTATATATATTAGGCAATTTCTCTATAAAATGTATTCCCTTCCAATTATTGTACGTTTGTCAAAAAATTTACTAAGAGATTTCTATTTTTTCCAAATAATTTAGAAAGTTAGAATCCTCACAGTAGATTTAAAAAATTTTTAAGACGATACAGTTTGAACAAAAATGATACGGTTTTTGTGCATCAAGTCTTAAGAAAGTTGAAGATACAACAATCCTGACGCGTTAACAGGACTATGGCCATTATATAATTGAGATGTAACTCGAATACAACATTAGCATAACGAATCTCGGCCCGGGGGAAAAAAAACTTAAGACGTTACCCAACAAATAACTTTGGACGTCTCAGCGGTATCCGATCTCGTCGCTGCAGCAGAATAACTGTAATGCATCGTACACAGACAAGGATACATAAATTTTCGTTGAACGACGGAGTTGTGGAGTACGTAGCTACGCCATTGCGGAACAAGAGAGCCAAGCATTCGAGCAGTAAGACTGGCTTCGGTGTGCGGCCAGAAACAGTTCCTCGCCTAGCATACAAATGAAGAGTATAAACATGTCGTCATTATCTGCCGGATTTATAACATGGATACACCCAGGCTTGACGCACAGGTGGCTCGACAGTGGTTGCCATTTCGAATCCCGACGACCGGTTTCTCATCGCGCTTCTCGATATTAAGGCTATTGAGATCGCAAGTTTAAGACAAATTATTATATATTCCGTTAATAATAGCCTTTTAGAGAAAAGAGATTTTGTTTTCTTGTTAGATACGCGAGCTATAAGCGAAATCGTAAGGCTTGATCGTCTAAAGATATTTTATAACAGTAATTTCTCGTTTCGAGAGGTATACATTAGTAGTATTGCAAGCATATTTTTATATATAACAGTAACTATATTTATCATTGCAGTCTCTCATATATAGAACTTAATGTCATGCACTAATAGTAACTTGCTAATAATAGTTCTTGGAGTAAAACCGCGAAATAAATTCTACATCGAGATAGTTCCCATAAAATCTTAGACTAGATTTTGCGGGATAAAAGAGAAACATACACAAATGTGAAGGAAGAACGGTATTATACTGCCATATTGATCGCACGGTGAAATGCCTGAAAACTGAAATACATCTACGCTCAAGAGGGATATTGCGTAATTCGCAGTGCGGGCTCGCGGTGATAAAAAAAGTGGCACTTGATATTTGCAATTGAAATCGACAACATCGACAAAATGGAAGCCGCGGTAACTATTTGCCGGGGCTGTTGAAACGGAGAGCCTGGCGGGCGTGCAAAATTTTTAATGTAATTTACTTTCGCGCCATGACGTAAGCATCCTACTGGTATCGACATTTCCACGAGTGGGCGAAAGAGAAATTTGTGTGAGTGTCGAATGCAGTATTATATAGCCGTGGCAATTTACTGCGCGCCGTTACATACTATTTACAGCGCAATTTACTACGCGCGTTACAGAGTGCAACGTTACAAGAAAGCAACATATGTACGTCGTTATATTTTCTCGACTAATAATTTATACGCACCGCGCGCGAAACTTTGTTTAAAACACTTCTTTCGGCATATACACGTCCTATCTCCGCGTACTCTGCGACTTTCCCTTCCCCCGTCTTCCTAAAGTAATTTATAGAAACATTAATGAGTCGCAAGTTAGCGTGAGAAAGAGTCCCGTACCGTCTAAATCACGCTAAAGTTTTAATCTTTTTTCGGCGCCTCATTATGGGCATACATCTTTCTCGTTTTTTTTTTTTTGTAATAAATATATATGTACGAAACTTGTCTTAAAATCATTCGTTCTTTGATCTCTCGATGCGCGGCGTCAGGTACCGGACGTAATCATAACTCGAAATGCCGAGATATCGTGCTTCTGCGCCTGACGCGCAAGGCAAAGCGGCAATTAGCCGAACGACGTCTCCATCAGCACTCAGCCCGATACGTGTTGCTTCATTAGGAGATAATGAAGCTACCGCTCGAGTTAATAATTTCCTGTAAAGATCCATAATTATATACAACGCGATAGAGTGGGTGAAATGCGGGAGGTGGCGAAATAACGATCCGAATGTTAATTGAGGCCGCGATAAATAAGTGCTTTCGCCGCCATTGCTATCAGCATCATCGAAAAGCCAAGTCATATTCTGGCTCGCCTTGTATCAGCTTAAGAGATGTAGAGATATTGTGGCGATAGAACGACGCGATCGCGTGAGTCACTTAAAATCCATCAAACTTTATATCGATAAATATCATTTTCGTTCGCTCTTTAATGAAAATTATTAAAACACATAACGCAAGGTGCGGATATTTTTTTTCGTACACGGAGAGTAATCGTTATACGGTACTGCTGAGGAAACTAA